AATGTGCGGCAGATCCAAGCTACTCGCTTCGCTTTTGCTACCATTCTTGGTGATGGTTCCATCATGACCTGGGGTGATGCTGACGACGGCGGTGACAGTAGTGCTGTGCAGGACAAGCTAGTGAATGTGCAGCAGATCCAAGCCACTGACACAGCGTTTGCAGCCATTCTGGGCGATGGATCCGTCGTGAGCTGGGGTCATGCACGCTATGGTGGTGACAGTAGTGCTGTGCAGGATCAGCTGACTAATGTGCAGCAGATTCAAGCGTCCCACAGCGCTTTTGCTGCCATTCTTGGCGATGGATCCGTCGTGACATGGGGTCATGCCAGCTGGGGCGGTGACAGTAGTGCCGTGCAGGATCAGCTGAAGAATGTGCAGCAGATCCAAGCCTCTAGCGTTGCTTTTGCTGCCATTCTTGGCGACGGATCCGTCGTGACATGGGGTGATGCTGACTCTGGTGGTGACAATAGTGCGGTGCAGGATCAGCTGAAGAATGTGCGGCAGATCCAAGCTTCTGACGGCGCTTTTGCTGCCATCCTTGCCGATGGAACTGTTGCGACCTGGGGTCATGCAGTATTTGGCGGAGACAGCAGTGCCGTGCAAGGCTCAACTGAAGGATGTCTGCACAGTGGCTAGGAAAGGAAACATCTGTTTTTTTCGCGGATTGAAATCACTGTGGGGTTGGTACAAGCTTTGTTTCAGCTCCACACGCTTGCAAGAGCGCGAAAAGCATGACCAATCGTCTCCAAGATCCCTCCATAATGCAAGGGATATGCACAGGACTCTGGGCTCCTGAAAGCACGGGGCTCAAGTGTCTCTAGGCAGAGTCCTTTCCCCTTCAGTCCTCTCAAACCCAAGTCTAAGTGCAGAACGCTTAATGCATGAACGCACCAAATCCGCCAACCCAAGCAAAACCCTACACCAGAAGCGCAAATCCATGATGTCCGCACGACACCCACAGTTGTATCGCATGATCAAGTTTCGTGACCAGCCGGCATGGGCCAGCACTTGGGGACGGGGGAATCGATCCGCACCAAAATCCTATTGACTGAGGCCTCGAATACGTGAAGGAAGTTCGAAGCCAGGGCGGCAATGCGCAGATCGCCGTGGGGTGCGGCGCTGAGTATCGGCTTCTTTGTTTTTGAGGCAGTCTTTTGACCATGAATGGTTTTGCACGGGTTTTCAGGGTTTACAGCAGTCGCGCATGTTTCTATGCATGCGTCGTTTAAAGCGTAGTCGTGCAACTGAAGCCATCCCAGGCACTTCGGCGCCGATCTCTGCGTGCGGCAGTGCTACACGAAGGAGCCTCCCGTGATGGCACTTTTTTTCGTCTGAGGGTTTAGGGTTTGATGGTGCAGACGTTGGGGCTTAGGGGGCTACTTAAGGTCAACGGCTCGGGGTTGAGTGTGCAGTGAAGGCCACAATTTTGGAGCATCGCGATCCTCCAACCCCGTCTAGCAGAGAAGGAAAGCCAGCATATATCATCTTTTTTGGATGTGATGTGGATGTTCCCACTTCTCGCCTTCTACTCTGAAGCTTCAATGCATGGGTCAGACTTTTGCGTATAAGCAACCTCCCGCTATAGTCCCCTTGGATAGTTACCATTTCAGTTTCAGAACATTATCTCTCAGAAGCCCATTCCAATCAAGGCCCTTGTGTTCGGAGGCCAAGGGCCACAGGGCTTGCGTTCTCCGTCAACGGCTTGAGGAAACCTTTCGTTTCAGCATCAAAACGTCATGACGGTTGTTATTCTTTTGCGTTCGGGTTCTTCTTGCACGGTTGTGTGTCGATTCATACTGTAACACTGTCGTTCCTGCCGTTGCTATACTTCTGCGCGCTAGTGTTTGCATTGTTGTCATGTTCGCCTCCCCAAGCCCTAAGCCTTAAACCCTCGAAGAAGTTGTAGGATCACAAACGTCGCATCGAGTTCTACGACGCAGAGTCCTGTCGTGGCCTTGCCTCGAGGATGTTTGGGCTTATGGCATTCTACTGGATGACTTAAGACGTCTGGCTCCAGCGCTGTGGGGTTTTGGGTTTTCGTGCGGTGTGTAGGCTTTGTGTTTAGGAGGGATGTGCGACTCTGGGTTAGTTTAATTACCACATGAATTCTTCGAAGCCTATGGCTGTAGGGGTCGGAAAATTTCGACTAGTATACCCCTGTAGTCTCCATGTACTCCTAGAAACAGAACGCACCAAAATTATCAGGCGCCCCTTTCTTCAGCGTGGTTCGGGGGAGTGTAGTTTTTTTTGTTTTTTTTTGGGGGGGGGGCCTGGATCCCAGCCCCAGGCCAGCCAGTGAAGCGTGCCCGGCGGGAGGCCACCACGGCAGGAGACCCGGGCGGAGTCCGTCTTGTTCATGTTCTTGGCTTAGCAGCTGCATCTTTAAAATAGGAGGTTTTTGCGTCAGGGTTCGGGGTTTGGCGGTTTGGAGTGCAAGGCTGCGTAAGGGTTTGCAGTTTTGGGGCTTAGAGTCTTGAAGGTTTGGGATTCTTTATCAGTTCTTCAGGTACACGCGTCGCAGCTCTGGCTGGTTTCAGAGTTTGCGGTGCTGGATCCAGGGTCTCCGGCTGTGTAGTACTCCACGGTTTGGGGCCTGGCAACCGAAGTATTGCCAGTCAGTGATTAAATCAATGATGTCTACAGTAGGCACCTATAGTCTTATAGCTTCTTACATGTCTTGTTCCTCTAGATATTTCTTTAGTACGATGCTTTCCCAGAGCATTCTTCATGGATAGTCTTGTTTTCCCGCGGCCGCACACACCCTGAACGTTGTCCCTCAGAAATGCAGACCTTAAGCCCCGAGCCTCACGGCTGAACCGAAGCTCTTGAACCGCAAACACTGAGCTCCACACCCCTTAGCCTCCTAATGAGCCCTAAACCCTGGACCCTAAACCCTAAACCCTAAATTTACTAAACCTTAAACCCTAAACCCTATCCCCTAAACCCTAAACTCTACGAGCCCAAGGTGGCAAGTGCGGTCGTAAAAGTCCGTCTATCGTAGGTAAAAAAAAACCCTAAACCCTACTCCCCAAACCCCAAACCCCAAACCCTACACCCTACAACAGTAACCCGTCCCTTGAGCCTTCGGCCTCTTCCTCGCGGAGGTCACGACACACCTCGCAGGGCCCCTCTGCTTCCAGGGTGCCGCTTGGCGCAAGTGGCTTAATGTGGGGGTTCCATGCAGAAAAAAATAAGCCTCCTTGAAAGGGCTTAGCATAGGGGCCTGGAGCTAAGTACTACTGAGTAATTAAAAGTCTCCCTTAGCCTTAAGGGTTCCATGATACATTGTTTTCTAGTTCAATCACACTATACCCCGCAGCATCCGGAAGCCCTACTGTCTTCGCCCCGGCGTCCCGGACCCCACGAAGTTCGCCTCTCCCAGGATTTCCCGGCGCGAGATTTGGAGGCTCACCCCAAGCAGCAGGTCTTATTGTTGATAAATAAGCTTTGTCGCTATATGTTCAGTACTAAGAGGAAGACTACGTACTAACTAGTGTTGTATGCTTCGTGCTCAGCGAGTTTGTGTGAGCATTCCTGGAAAACCAGGGGCACTCAACCCTAGACCCTAAACCCTAAAAGTTTTTGGGTCAGCCGCTGGGCCCCCATCGTTGACAGGTGCAGCAATGGGTATCTCGAGGCAACGAGAAACCCTAAACCCTAAACCCTAAACCCTGAACCCTAAACCCTAAACCCTAAACCCTAAACCCTAAACCCTAAACCCTAAACCGAGAGGAGAAGGCCCTTCAGCTAAAGACTTCCAGAGGCCAAGCGGGTAAGTTTGATCGCAGATAGAGTCGGTGGACAATCGTAAACCCTAAACCCTAAACTCTAAACCCTAAACCCTAAACCGTGGTTTAGGGTTTAGGGTTTAGGGTTTAGGGAGGGTAGCACCCCTTTACCATCAACCCCAAACCCTCATCGCAGAACCCTAGCCACGCCGAAGTCTCGGACCCCCTGGGTTTACTGCGGAGGCACCTCCCCTCCACCCCGGCGACTTTGCAGTCATGCGCGAGGTGCAGGGTCAGGGGTTCAAAGCTGGAAGGTCCGGAAGTTCAGGGTTCAGTTACTACAAGGGTTTAGCGTTTAGGGGTTAGGGTTTAGGGTTTAGGGTTTAGGGCCTTAACAAGTACCTGCACTATTTTGGGGGTTCCTCATTAGAATTACGGTATACGAAGTAAAGCCCCTATACTAAGGCATGCTGTCAGAAAGGTGCGATAGAGTCCATCTGCGTACTGGAATTACTAGAAGCCCTAAAGTTGGACCCTGGATTACTGACGATCAGCGCCGGGTTTTCCTCTACTTTATGGGGCATCCTAGACCCTAAACCCTAAACCCTATATACCCTGAACCCTAAACCCCTAAACCCTAAGCCCCTAAATAAGGGTCGTGATGTTGCAACTTTCTGGCATCTGCTCCCGGCCCCGCACTGTAGAGTTCGTAGTTGGAGGTGCCAGCATGCAGGGCTTGGTGCCCCCAGGTGGGTAATTCTCCAAATTTGGGTCCCTGTTTAGGTCCTCAAAAGAGTACAGCACCCTAAACCTTAAACCCTTATATAAAAAGAGCCCTAAATTGGACCCTAACCTAAAGAGAACTACCTAGGTGATGATGGTGATGAGTTCGACGGTGAAGAAGCTGCAGAACAGGGTTGCTCCTGTTATGCTTTTAGGATCTTTTAGGGGTTTAGGGTTTTAGGGTTTTAGGGCTGTTCATAGCAAACAGGAGACGTTTCTGAATACTGGGAGTAGGAGCCAGACGGAGCAGCTCCGGGTCTCCGTGCTCTGTGCGTCTCTATATTCTGATGCAGACCTTTGTAGTTATTGTTAGGGTTTAGGGTTCAGGGTTTAGGGTTTAGGGTATACCTGTGATGAGTTGCAATTAGCAACAGGGAAAACCCACACTACACCATCATGACCATAATCGGGACCGCGAGATTGCCAAGTGCATGTGCACCCGCAGGCCTTCACTGATCAAGCCATCTAGTAGACTTAAGGAAGACTGAGATGGTGCCATCCCAGCAGAGTTTCGGTTACGAGCAGGAGGAGTCGACTCCGATGCCCGTGACTGGGTCTGCTTTCGGGAGCCTTTTCTTTTGAGACTGGACCTGGCATGTGTTTTTTTCTTTAAGGTTTGGGGCTTCGATGTTTTTTCGTTTTCGCTCTTCGATGAAGATGGGCCCAGGTGATGTGGTACATGGTGCCAGCCGACCAGGTGCAGCAGATGCCTTATCATCCCGTCCAAGGTCCCAGCGTGAGCTTCGCAGCTGGAGCCGCGGCGACAATGACCCAGGGCTCCATGCCGCAGGGGTGGTGGCAGCCACCGATGCAGATGCCCCAGATGCTGCCGTTGCAGCCCGTGCAGGCAGCGCAGCAGGTGCAGCCAACGCTGCCGCTGCCGATGCAGTCCACACAGATGGCATGCCCGGCCTCGGACATTCCGTTGGAGGGGCAGTGCGCTGCTTGGCTAGGTTCTCAGCATAGGTGAGGAAGCCTTGAGATAATTCTGAAGATCTTTGCGTGCTGGGGCAACATACAAAGCAAGCAGTACATGCCTGGAGCCCGCAAGCGACCGCACCGTTCAATCTCGAGGTGCACATGACTATGCATATGTGTACCAGTATACAGTATACCTGTGCGCACCTGTGCACACATGGCACACGTCGATGACCGCATCTGTGGATGTATATATGCATACATGGACCCCCGCAAGCCTCAAAGCCCCAAAATGTACACTCCCTGTCACTGTAACTCCTATATATGCTGATACAAACTCTGTAATGCCAATGAAAACCCTCTGGAGCCCAAGCCCTGTGGGTATAAGTATAATTACCTTGGAATGTTAAAGCTATCATAAACCCGTTTAAATCCCCCATCTCCCCCAACCCTCTATCGGCCCTAAACTTCTTGAACCCTGCCATAAACCCTAAACCCGTTAACAAAAACCCTCATAAACCCTAATCCCCTTTAAGATCCCTTTTTCGGACCCCCTTTAACCCCCTAAAGACCCTAAACCCCCTTAAGATCCCTTTTTCGGACCCCCTTGAACCCCCCCTAAGAGCCCTAAACCCCTCTAAGATCCCTATTTCGAACCCCTAAACCCCTTTAAGATCCCTATTTCGGGCCCCTAAACACTAAACCCTAAACCCCAAACCCCTGTAAGATCCCTATTTCGGGCCCCTAAACCCTAAACCCCAAACCCCTTTAAGATCCCTATTTCGGGCCCCTAAACCCCAAACCCTAAACCCCAAACCCCTTTAAGATCCCTATTTCGGACCCCTAAACCCCAAACCCCAAACCCTAAACCCCTTTAAGATCCCTAAACCCTAAACCCCTTTAAGATCCCCATTTCGGCCCGAGGCGTGGGGCTATGCAGGCCCAGCGCCTGAGCAGTGCTGCGCCCCGGCGCGGGCCTCCGCGGGCTCCGTGGCCGAGGTCTCCACGGCGCCCTCCGAGGCGTCGCCGCGCTTCCAGGAGGCGGAGTTTTAGGGTTTAGGGTTTAGGGTTTGAGTTTTGAGGGTAAGTTGAAGTTTCGGTAGGGTTGTTAATTGTTAATTAGTTATTATCATTATCATGATTATTCTTATTTTCAGTTCTTCTTCTTACTACTATCATTGTTACTTTTAGAATTCGTAGTTTTTTTTGGGGAGGAGTTCATGGTTTGTGGGTGTTCTCTAGGAATCACTTTTCGATTTGCTGTAGCTCATAAGCTCAAGGGGTTATTGAATGGTTTGATTCTACGGGACTTACTCGGTTTTTAGAGGTTTGGGGGGGGTACAAACCTGGTAATCGGAAGAGGTAGAAGCCGGAAGATTCCAGAGATGTAAACCCAGGGATCTCCCGCCTTGTTCTTGCTCGTTTGTGATTTTTTTGCTGTGATTGAGATCTGAGTGAATTCGGGCATCGCTACATCCAAGCCCCAAGCAAACGAAGCCCAAATCCCAAGAACCTCACAACTCCTACCGTAGACGCCCAAAAGTTGGAAACCCAATAGCCTCCATCCTTAATAGTCTAGGGAATCCTAGCACTAGTTGTCCTGAATCCGGTTTCCAACTTTTGGGGTCTACCATACCCTAACCCTGACCCACAAAATATAAATCCCCCAGACTCTGAGCTATGAGTCGCAAAACCTGACGCCACAAAACGTCCCGGGATGAACCCTAAACCCTAAACCCTAAACCCTACACATCCTCAAATCCCCCAGGCGGACGAGCTGTCCGCGCCCATGCGCCTCGCCTGCACGACTGTCGGAGGTTAGGTTCAGGGCTTTGGGATTTCCGCCATACCTTAACCCACCAGAACCTACTCTGTCGTAGGGGGTCCCTAGAAATCCCATATTTGGGTTTATATAATAAGAGCCTACAAAAAGTGGGTTTTGGAGTTTTCCGCATAGAGTTTGGGGTGTAGGATCTGCGAATCTCTCGCTTCGAACTCAGGCCAATTGAAGGCGCCCCAAGCCCCAAAGCAAGAATCTACGCCTTGAGCCCGGAACTCCAGATACCCCCAGCCCTAAACCCTATAAACCCCAAACCCTATAAACCCTAAACCCTATAAACCCAAAACCCTATAAACCCTAAACCCTATAAGCCCGAAACCCTACACCCTAAGCCCTGACCCTACACCGGACCACGGGTCTTAAGCCTTTAGGCATAAGGTGCCAGTACCAGTCCTCTATGGAGCCTCAAACCATCTCAAGCCTAAAAGCCCTATACACAAACCTAGAAAACCTGATTAACAACCCATAAACATACTTCACAAGTACCAGTCAAGATCTTACAAAAGCCGACGACAGTCGCAGAACGCCCAAACATGTACTTCAACCCTACATAGAGCCCTAAACCCTAAACCCTAAACCCTAAACCCTGAACCCTAAACCCTGAACCCTAAACCCTACACCCTGAACCCTAAACCCTACATGGAGCCTCTTGGGGAACGCCTCCCCAGGAGAACCTCCGCGTCTGCCGCGCGGCGCCTCCGCCGCAAGCGCGCCGCCGAGCGGAAGGCCGATAGAGGGCTTATGGTTTAGGGTTTAGGGTGTTAGGG